CTATAACTGCTGACAGTGCTGGCCAGCTAAAAGCTAGGTTAGGTGATGGCAGGTAGAATCATCTGAGAAAAACATTTGAGGAGGTAAAAGGGGCAACAGCGATCAATAAAATCACAAAATAAAATTTGTCATGTCTTCAGGATCTCCATGAAGTTGAGATAAGCAACACTAAGTCCTTTTATGTACATTACAGCCTGCAATTTTGTGTGGACCAGGGCAGGCAAGGCAATTGAAAGTCAGTCAGGTAGTGTGACATGAGTGCTGTGATTAGACTGCCATGCTATGCCACTGTGCAATACATCAGCAAAACCACATTGCTGGAAGTTTCTCTAGATTGTTCCAGAAAATGGTTTGGTTTTTAAGGTATTTTATACGCACATACTCATGCCCCAGATTAAAAAAAAAAAAAAAAAAAAAAAGAAGAAACAAAAAAACACAAGCCTTTTTCTCACTTTATTTATACCAGGATATGAGGCACAGTCTAATACAGTTTCACACTTAAGTTATGTAATCATGAAAGGAGAATCCAACCTGGAACGTACAGATTTTTCTGGTGCATTCTTTCCTAAGTCTTTTAATTAATTACCTAATTAATTAACGGTTTACAGGGAAACCTAACGTTAGGAAGTATCTATTGAAGTGGTTTGTTCTCTCTTAACCATTGTTGGCCAAATCCATTGTTAGCTGAGATAATCCAGTGTAGTTTCACTGGAGCCAATGCACCTCTGTGTTGAGTAGTACTGGAAAGGACAGGGTATTTTATGCATGAATTTAAATGTGTGTGTAGAACTTTGCACTTTGCTTGCGTTATTAACATTTGCAATGTGCTGAATCAGCCCAGAAAAGCAGAGAGGATCTCTCAACAATAGTCAAATATCTGCAACAGCCTATTCAACAAGTAGCACAGAGAGAGTGTTAATAGTTTTCTGATGGCTCTCTGAGATGAGAAAGGATGCATTCTTTCATAAATAGAAAAACCCACCCTCTACAAAAAATCATTCAAAAATCTTGTTATATCCATGTTTCACAGATTTCTATTACATATCCAAGTCTGTATCTCTGAAGTGTCATAACCCCAGACCACTCACTGCCTTAGAATATTAGGCTATAATAAAGCTGTCTCATTCTCTCACAAAACAGTTTGAGAAAAGAAGAAAATCAGAAAAAAAAAAAAAAGATGTTAGTTGTTGCAGCCAGTGCTGTTTTCAGAGCAACTGCAGGCTTCTCTTGCTCATTTACTCAAACAGAGAATGGGAAGCCTGCTTGCAATACTTTTAATCAAGACCTTATTTATTTAATTTGTATGTTTGTTTATTTATTTATTTGTCCTCAAGAGGGAGCAGAAAAAGAGGAGGAGAGGGAGGAGGAAGAAAAAGATTCCATTTATCATTCTTTAGCTTGCTAAATTGATTGCTTTTTCTTAGGCTAAAGATCAATAGGAATACAGGGCCAGCACTTAAAAACTACTCCTTTTTTTCTTTGTCTAATGACTTGAAGCAGTAGAAGTAGTAGAAATCTTTTCCTTTCTCAATCTACGAACATGCATGCACAGGACAAAGTACTTTTCTCAACTCTTTATATGAGAATTCAGACATGATCGTTTGCTGTTTCAAAATTGAAGGATCCCATCACTGTCACCAGTGGGGCAAGGATAAAATGAAGTACAAGAATGCATAATTTCTCCTGTTGTCCTCAAATCAGCAAGACTGTAGCCTTAAGAACTTGGCTGAGGCAGGCATCACTCCAAGTTTAAGTCCACATATTGGTTTATATTTCAAACATGCCACAAGGGTATCAGTGACATGGGGATCAGTTACACAGCCATGATCCAGTTTGCAAGGAAACCATTTCCTACATGGGTATGAATGTGCTCAGACCCACACTGTGCCAAGAGTAAGAGACACAATGTACATAAAAAACAGAATTCAGACATTTTATAGCATTTCTCATTTCACAGCATGATCATATAATATACATTTTTAAAATCATCTCCGGCATCTTTCTTGGAAATATTTATTGTCCAGTTTATTATGCAAAACCTGTGCTTAATGTTGGACAGTAATTTAGCCACGGAGAGTGTTAACCTTTCAGAAGATAAGTGACTGATGCAACCTGAATCATACAGCAGTGTCCATATTTCCCTGTGATGAGGGATGGCATGTTATAAATGTACTGTCCAACTGGGGAATAAAACAAATGGAAGCAAAATTATGAAAGCTTTACGCATTCTCATTATACAAACTTAATCTAAATGGATATCCTAATATTCTTCCAATGCAATGATAAACCTCCAACTAGCTGGGAATATTTAGTGGGAGGATGAATATCATTATTCCATTTAGATTATTTCAGCATTAAGGAATATGGCTTATTCAAGCTGCTGTTGATAAAGCAGTGTGGTAAGGTTAATACTGCAACTGACAATGCTCTGCCAGATTTCACAATATATGGGAAACTTTAATTAGAAGTTTATGAACCTCTGAAAATTCTCCAAAGGGCTTACCCTTCAGAAATGAACTTCGACAAATAGTCAGCAGAAATACCCAGTGATATGCAGCACTAGCAGAAGTGATTGCTGATGTGGATTGGTACGTGGTGGTCTTACACTGACAGGGGCTACCTCCAGCACATTCACAGTGTCCTTTTGTCTTTGTGCTCCATGAAATGTAATTCATTTTGGTTTTAGGGAAGTATTACAGTAATTATATCATGGATGAAAATCCTGTTCCAAGTCAATGAGTCAGATGTCAGTCGTGAGGGCAGGATTTCATTCTTTACTTGATTAGGGAGTTGACAGACATCAAAACAGTATTTCTTTGAAATGTGTTAATTTGCTTGATGTTAGTTAACAATGGCTTCACTCTTCTGACAGAAACTGCTGTAAGCCTGTTGGAATGGCAGAAAAGCAGCGATAAGAAATCTGCATCTGAAGATGTTGTGGAGTCTGTGGATGCTGACATTGATTGTACCTGCACTGGCAGCTGTAGTTAAGTTAACGTTTTGGCATTGTGCTATAGACATACTACACAAATAATTGAATAGCTGGACAGATAAGAAGGGAATATAATAGCTGTAGTAAAATATTAAGAAAGGTGCTTGAAGAAAGTCTACTGCAAAGTCAAATGCATTATGTACAGTCTGCACTGCTTAATAAATATGTTCATTAAATAAGTATTCATGCGGTCTCTCTTTATTTTTCCCTATCAACAAAACAATCAGGCCAACTATAATATTATACAGAAATTCTGCTCCCTTTTATCTGCGATATAATTACAGCAGTCCGCTCTTAAAATTACATTCACTAGGTGATGAAAGAAAAACATGATTATGGCTACTGCTAACATTCCATTGTGCAAAGAATTTCATATTTAGCATACTAAAGACACAGTAAGCATTTGTTTTCTTTTATGTTTTCTGGTAAAGAGCAACGTCTGTTCCTGGAACCGTTCTGCAAAAAAAAATATATTTTACTCCCAGCAAGACCATTAGCCTTAGTACATTCTACAAAGGAATGAATTGGACTGCTAGACTCCCACTGTAGCTTTCCAGAGAGCTATAGTGTGTGACACAGTCCCCATTTTCATTTAAATTTCAATGGATGTGCTGTTGCTTCGTGAACTAACTAAAAGTGTGAATAGGAACTTTTTTTTGCTTTACCATCTCCTATTGTATATTTATGAAAATGATGGCTTCAAAAACTTCAGGGAACAATAATACATCAAGTAGCATTCCAAATACTCCAAAAAGCAATATATAGAAAGATATGTAAGATCAATAGCATCATAAAGCTAAAATAAAACACAAGCAGGACAGTCAGATTGTGTTTAACCAGTGAAGAGTCAATCTGCTAGCTTTCACTGTGCAGAAAGCTAATTCCCTCCCACCCCAGGGGACCAGGACTAGGAGGCACCTTCAAACCCCCAAGCAATGGCACAATATCTCTTCACCCTGTGTCACAAATCAGCCGTGCACTGAACCATGGTATGTTTTCCATAGCAGTCAATAGCAGCCAGCACATTTTCCAAGGGAAGCCTTAGCGTGGGCAAGGTACAGCTGAGCCCAAACCCTGGCAGGAAACTGCCATTAAAGAAAATACTTTTCTTTCTAACTAAAAACTGATCTATCAGAATGATTGAAGACTAAATAGTTGAACAATTACAGCACAACGCTTCACAGCGCTTTTCTTTCAAGAGCAGAAGCATGAGTAATCTAAGGAGGTACTCCTTTTACTCTCTTTTACTCACCAGCTTTCAGAAAAGGCCCAGTTTTTCTCCATGTACAGCCCTAACATCATTATTTCCAGAAGTAAGCCATTACAAGTTTGTTCAAACCAGATGCCTGATGCATACCCTGGGACAAGGGTATTTGCCTCTGCCCCAAGCCTATCTCCTGGGGCTAACCTACAAAGGCAAAAGGCAGTTACCTGCCTCTTTCTCCTTCCCAGCCTTAATTCTTCTATGTATTGTATTTGAGAATATATGCAAATAGCCAGTGCTCTATTCAACAGCTTTTTTTCATGCATGTATCTTCAAACTAAGATCAGTAACATGAATACTTGCCCTGTGTTTTTATTTGTAATAAAGCATTCACAAATTGTACAAAAGCTGTGTTTTCCTAACTCATCAGAAGTGCTAGATTACAAAACAGATAGCCTCAAACAAGAGGGGAGAAAATTGTGTTCCACTTTCCCTTAAAATCACACTAGTCTTACACCTGGAGAGTTCTTTCTTGCTGGTATTGTTTTCACTGTGGCTTATGGGAGATTTGACATTGACTTTCATAGGATCAGACTGTCATCTTTAATCCAACACCTCTTTCTTTAATCCCCTTGTTTACAAGAGAGAAACTTTTGCCAGTCAACCACTTGAGATAGGACAAAGGTAGTAGGAGGAGAAGAAAAATGAAGTTTCATGCTCAACTACTAAAACAGGGGGTTAGTAACAGCAAAGAGCCATTAGTAGGAGAAGAAATTCTGCTCCTGGAGCAGGGAATTCACTCACCATCACCCCACCAGTACTGCAGCCTGGGCTGGGGTGCAGGCTCCACCCGGGGGAAAGCAGTCGCTGGTAAAGCCCAGGCACAGACCTTGCTCTGCTCTGCACAGGGCATGGGCAGGACACAGCTCCCATTTCCACTTCCAAGGGGCAGCTTTCCTTCCTGGCCAACTCCTGTTCATTAGTGCCCTCTTGCTGAGACAGCTGAATGCCTTTGACTGCCTGAAAGGCTTCTCTGCAGCTGTAAAATCACAATGCAATGAACGTTAGAAAAACCGGAGGTTGGTAGTGTGCACAGCAAAGCAAAAGACTTAGAACCAGCTCATTTTGCCAAAGGAACTAAGAACATTAGCAGTACAAGTGTGAAAAAGCCCTTCTGGAATTTCTAATGCACCACACAGACATTTCCAACCCATCTGGGAGAATATCTGAGTCCAGATTTAAACCTCATTTGGAAATCATGCCTGTCCTATCTTATAAAGCAAGGCAAAGCTATGTACCCAACTGAGTATTAAAATGTGTACTACACAGACTGAGCTTTTATGCATTCCACTTTTCATTCCTAGTGCTTCTCAACTGTATGTATTAATGAATTCTGGACTTTACTGCAGTAACCAAGTAATATAATCTTGCAATTATGGTACTCTAGTATTGTTGGGTTTTTTTAAAATGTCACAAAAAAGATGCAGACCTAAGCATAAGCCAGGCTTGCATCTTAATCCTGCCCTTGCAGCTCTGTAATGTGGTTTTGCATGAGCCTGGGGACTTCTGTGTCTCATTTTCTGCATCAGAAAGATATGACTGCTTACCTACTTGATGGAGTCAGAAATGCTTATGAATTTATAGTCCCATATGTCTTTTGCAAGTTCTTCAGTGATTCTAGAAATGAAAAGTAAATTTTTCCACTAGATCTCCTAACCACATGAGTATATTTTATTGCTAAGTTGAAGGTTTTCATTTTCAGATTCATCCAACTGTAAAATAACTATACATTTGGAAAAAATCAAAACAATATACTTAATTTGTTCACGGTCAGCTTTGGTTAAACCTTAGTGGATTATTCCTAAAAGCCTAGAATTGGATGGTGCTATTACAGACAGATAGGCAAAAAGGCTATTGGAGACACAGCCTTTTGTAGCCCTAGACAAAGACAACAAACCTTTTGTCCATCAGATCTGGCTCTTTTGATTCACTAATTTTAAATGACACAGTGACTCTCAGGAAAGCAGGATCATTCTGCTCCAGAGAAAGAAGCTGCAGTGTGATAGGAAAGGACAAAATCACTAATACCAGACCCTTCCTGGAAATGAAATGCCAGTTCCACAGTGTGAGCATTAAAAAAAAAAGCATCTTCAATTCTAACTCCACAGAAGCCAATGGTTAAACTCAACAGAGCCAGGCTTTTACTCAGCATGTTTGAATGAGTTATTAAATGAACTTTAGTTGTCCCTAAAAATAAATGTACTGTGCGGATCTAAGTGCAGCTGATGAATAAGAAACCTCAGGAATCCAGCAAATACAGTAGTTAGGGCTAAAACCAGAGACAGCTCAGAAGGTTGCAGGAGTAGCTATTAGTGGCCATCTGAGTTTTTTTCGAATCTCAAGGTCTCTCATGCCATCTACTGGCTTTTTTTATTTAGTTACAATGGTTTCAATGTTTTTCCTTGAGATTTTTTTATAGGTCTGATTTATTCCAGGTAGTTTTACATAAATTCCATTTAAGGTTTGAGGTGGGGTGTTTTTCCCTCTTATCTCCACACTTGATTACTATGCGATTTTTTTTCCTGTGAGTACATTACAGTTTGGTACTATTCTGAATACAATATTTCACATTGTCCCCAGAGGAAAAAGGCATTGCATAAAACATTCTTATTTCTGGTATTGCTGGATAAGCAATAATTATACTGTAAGCAGTACTGGAAGAACAGTTTACTAAAAAATCCAAAGCTGTTCAAAAATAGTACTCACAGTTCATTCTTAATCAGTGTGAGAAGGCTGTTATTTTAGTACCTGGAAATGCTTAATGTACAGAAAAAATCTGGTTATCCCTCTTTTTTCACTTGCAGTTCACTTAGCTGTAATTCACAGCAAACACTTCTACAGCCTAATATTCTTAAGTTGCCTTTCAGATGGGGTTTGATAAGCAGGAATTATCTATATTGACAGATCTGATCACAGAGCTTCCCTTCATTATCTGTAGCCTGTCCAGTTTCCTTTCCCTATTTATGCATCCACTGGTCTGGTCAGGACACATGCAGGCACCTAACCTTCATGTATCTTCTTAACATTCACAAGAAAAAGTAACCCAACATTCCTTATAGACATTACATGAAACAATATTTAAATGCTTAAGTGTAACTGTGGTCATATCTGTCTCTTATGCAGTTGAGAATTTACTCTAATTAGAGCTGCTTTGATGCTTTGTTTTTCGCCAGCTGATAAAAAGATAATTACAGAAGAAAAAAGAAAAATAAAAGGAAAAAAAAAATAAAACACCCAGAGCCCAAAATTTGGGCTGAATAAGCTGACATGCTAGAATTCTACTCAGACTCCTTCCTCTGTGGTCAAAACAAAACTAGTACTATTCAAGCTCTGATCATGATTTGGGGGATGATACATCTAAGGCATCTTTCCCTCCAGCCCAATCCCTACCAAGGCTTCAGTAGGAAATGCTGAAGATGTCATCATACACATCCCATTTCACAGGGCCTGGGCTCCCTGGGAACAGTTTCCACACCTGAAATCACCTTCTAGGTTTTGGCACATGGATTGCCCGTTCTGAAACACAGCCGGGGAGGGTGGGCCAGGGAAGGAGGGTCACATCTCAGATGATTGCTCAGCCTGTTAAATCAGTGAATGAAAATAGGCATAAGCATAATCACAGGTACAGTACAGAGGGAAGAGCAAGTTGTGTGACACTTTTCATATCATCCGTGTGAGAAGGGGCTGAACCCTGTGTATTTTCTACCATTTCTGAGCAAGGCTGGTTTTTAGGATGCTGGAGAGTTCTACAGCTTGTGAAAATTAGGCAGTGAAAGACTTCACTACTTAAAGGTATAGAAGGGAGTATTACAGATTTCGGTCTTGAGTATAAGCACTTACATTGTACCTAAGTCTTTTTCTTTCCTCTGTGAAGCTGGGCATCAGTCTCTACAACACTACAGCTTCACACTGGAAAATCCTAATGCAACCAAACTGAAATGCTCCAGAGGAATTAATTGGTGACCTTGCCTGACAGACCAAAATAAATCTGGCAGGCAGGCTGCCCCCTTTGCCAAGTGCTCAGATCCCCAGCTGCAGCCATACGGATTACACTGCTTCCCGGGCCGGGTGAGGCTGCCAGCTCTGCGTCCTGCCAGCAGCCAGCTCCCCTGCGCTGCCTCCTGCCTTCAGCTTGGCTCCGCAGGTTCCTGAGCCTGCCCAGGGCCAGCTGGTTAGCACCAGGCAGACAGGGAACCTGGCACTGCCCGCACCTCTTGGCCAGCTGGTGGATCGACAAAATGGATTGCTCCATTCATGAGCAATTCTGGGATGCTGAGGTGCCCCTCGCGCGCAGAGCGAGGCGCGGCGCGACAGCCCCAAACTGCCCTGGGAAGCAGCTTCTTCCTGCAGCATCTGCTCTGCCTCGCCTGCTTCACCCAGGCAGGGGACAAAGGAGCTTTTCAGAAGTTCTGTGATGAATTTATTTCATTTATATTTCTCAAAGGATCTGAAGTTCAAAGCACGAAAATTTTTGCACATCCTTTGGTACCCCGTTTCGGCTTTCTCCTAATAAGTAGGCACAGACTGGCTGAATTAAAGGTCATGGTTTAGGTTATAGGCACAGGCAAAGCCCTGTGCTCTGTGTTCTACCAAATCGGCAGCTTTACATGAAGGAACGCCTACAGAGTAAACCCTTCCCTGGCCAAGAGAATCATAGCTCAGAGTATAGTATGCTTCTGTATCATGTTAATAAAAATATAAAAATAATTAAAAAGGATTTCTCATTTCTTACACAGCTTCTCTTATCAGTTCTAGGGGTAACTCCTTTATATTAAAAACGTGTGAATGTCACCTTCACTCACCTGCTGCCACCAGGTCACCATGTTTTCAGCATGGCACCAAAGAGTAGTTGAAATGTGTAAGTTTTTGCTCTTCCTGAGCTTGTTTCTCCTTAAAAGTATCACTTAAAAGGAGGATTTTTAATTATTTATATATGCATCTGATTTGTTCTGAAATCAGTGATAGGACTCAATGCCTGAATGGCCCCATAACAGCAATAGAAATATTTCCTGTAATTGTGTCCATCCCTTCACCATTGTTCCAGTCATCAAGTCCCCTTTTAACTGCAGTTCCATATGGAACAGAAGAGAAAAGCAGTGCCACAACAACTTACATTTGCATAACCTCTGGGCTGGAGACAGTGTGAGATTTTCACAACTGCTAGCTGGAAATGTATTTGTTTAGCCAAGCTGCCAAAACTCATATTTTAGCTTGGGAAGTCTCTCATCCAATAAGGCTCTCATTACACTTCCACTGTTCTACAAGCACTTCATCTTAAGGCAATCAAGATGTAATAAATAGTGCTTTTTAAAAACCAACGTCCCTGAGTCATAGGTATAAGGAATACAGTTGGAGTGGGATCACCCAGAGTCAGCCCCTCAGGAAAATACCTGGTAATTTCCTCATTACATCATCCTTAAATGTCAACCATTTCCTCTATAGTTGCACTAACACTGAAAACATGAGCCTTGCTGTTTTCGTCCACATCAATATGCACTTAAGTAAGAAAGGAAAAAAGTTTCTTCTGCTGCAAAAATGTTGATAGATTTTTAAAACAGTATATGAGAAATAAAATGTGTGGCAGAATCTGCCTTACTATTCTAACATCTCAAGACTGAAAACTGCAATAATTTTTCTGAATGACAAACCAAGCACTTTTCTTCCTTGGTGATCACACAGCAATTTCACAGCTACTGGGTTTCATTACCCTCTTCCCTCCCCAGAAGGTTCCCTTCCCATGAAAAGACCTTTCCTACTTTAAGTTCTTCTCTTTGCCTGAATTCTGCATTATGCTATTTGTAGGGCTTATTTTTCCCTTGTTAGTCAGTAAGCAGGGTTGTCAGGAAAGCACTACATAACCAAGTGTGTCTCAACAAGCTGAACAGATTTCTA